TTTAAAAAGGGTATAAGAAGTATCAGCTATTTCTAATCCTTGCATTGGGCCTGTACCTGCATATTTGGTTTCTTTGGAATTTAATGTACCTAGTAGAATTACTACAGTAATTTGAAACACCGGTTAGAAATCTAACAGGCACACGTATGGTTTTTAAAGTCTATTTTCCCCTTACACTAAAATTCAATATGCAGATGTTGCACGCTTTTCTTTTTAATTTTATCAGAGTAGGAATGGGATGATTTCTCTTCTACGGGTCTGTTAGCAACAGAGCATTTAAAGCTTTTCAGCTACAAACTTTAAACTATTTCATGCATTATCCTGATTAATAGATGAGCAAGAAAGAATGCACAGGGCAAAAGCTCAGCCTGCTACACACAGATACGACGCCACAAAACATCAGGCTGTATCTCGGTGACACGGGAATTTTGCTATTGACTTCAGAGGCACCACGATTCGGCCTTCCAAAGGCACTACCGGAGCTCCTGTTGGAGCTCTTCCCACCAACGTTAACTGATGTTGTACCACTGTTTTCAACAGGAAAAGGCCACGAGCCTTCAAAGCTATTGCTATTCCTTTGCCTAGTAAAGTCAATAGGTAAAAAAAAGCTCACTAATGTCAATGAGTATCGATCAGATGCTGAGCCCTGTGGTTTTACATTTCGCAATTCTTTTCATTTTTGCATACAAAATGCCTCAGGTCTCCTGTTTGCAGGCTAGATGGCAGAGCTGAGCTATATTTATATACAGTGCACGGTTTGCAAAGAGCACTGTTCAACGGGCTTCCAGCAGTATCAGCCTGGGAGAGTGTTAATAAGGGGATGCACGCACGATAGCTACCACACTATCTTACACATGGCTCTAACAGCCCCTTTTTTTTGCTCCCGCTGAAGTCAGTGACAAAAAGGCTGACTGACTTCAACGGAAGCAGCATCCCATTATCAGTACCTGTGCTCCGACAGGGGCTGCGATCTCCTCGGATGACATTCTTTCTTGCCAATCATGGAAAGAAACAATAATGTGGTTTTACTAATTGCAAATAACAGTCTTGATTACAAGTTTTATGTGTTATACAGTTAGATTAGTTTATACCTATAACTCTACATAGTATTTTGTGTAAAAATAGCTTTGGAATATTAAAATCATTGCAATAAAATACCTGCAATATAATTATTAAATGTGTTCTTTGGTAGCTAGTCGATTTTTTTTTTTTATGGATGGAATAGTTTTCCTTTTTTAAATCTGAACATTCCTTAACAAACAAAGAGAATGCACTGGTTTAGGTACCATTCAAAATTTCTTTGCCTAGTTTGAACTTGTTTCCGGGCGTTGCACCGGTTAAGTTCAAACCATGAAACAGCAAAAATCACACTACCGTTTCAAATGAATTCAGACGACTCCACGCTTTGTTGGTCGCGCCATGGCACAACCCTCTCTGAAGACCAGCCCTGACTAAGTCCCTAACCACCGGTGTGTATGCAGTACGGATACACTCTACACCTTCATGGCAATTGCTGTGGAAATGAAGAGCCATGTCTGAAGAGATGTCCGTTCAATGACAAGAAATCACTATGCTCCAAACCACTAAACAGCCAAGTACGGTGAAGATGATCATGGGCGAAGGTGTAAGACCAGTGGTCTGTTCCTCTTCTCTTTGCGTTCCGTTTCATTCCCTCCATTTCGCTTTCTTCTTCCTCTCCGTTTTTTGCAAGTCGTCGTCCTACTAAAGTGTGTGTCTTAGAACAAAGTCATAATGCAGGTGAAATAAGTCTTTGGTTTCTTTGGACTTATAAATAACATTTTTTTCAAATAGTTCTAAGTATAAACCTGCTATCTTGAGGTCCTGGTCTGTCTTTATTTATTTATTTATTTATTTTTAAAGCTTTTCCACCGAGGTTTAGTTCGTGGTTATTCCTTCATGCTTTGGTACAAGTGCTTGATGAAGAAGATGAGTTGCCTGAATTGGAGCTGCCCTCGTCTTGCCACTTATCCAGACTCCTCCTCCGTGCATTCATGAAAAAGTTGCTGACGGTGCTCAGCTCCAACCCGAGCTGCTGGGAAATGGTGATTTGTAATTCTTTGGACGGACGCTTATTTTCCTTGAATATTGCATGTAGAGTTCGACGCTGGACATCCGTGAAGACCAACCGAGGCTTTTTGGGTGTATTCCCTCTATCCTTCCCGTGCTCTTGTTCTTTCCTCTTGCACGCTGCAAGAAAGGGGAGGACGGTTAGAGAGGGCTGGCAGAGGAGTCCGCGGGAACGCAGTACAGGACAAACCAGGGGAAAAGGACCATTCATTTCAGCTTCCAAATTTGGAGAGGATGTGTGACACATCAATTTAATTTTTTAACTTATAATAGACTATAAAAATATAAGGAAATTAGAAAATACCTTTATCATTGTCTGTTAAAACTCAGCAAATGCTATTACTGAGAGTTTACACTTTGATAACGCCCATTAGCGATGAGAATTTAACTACGTAATATCCCTATGAACTAGAGTGGAAATTCACTGAGCTCTAAAGTCAACCTTGCCCACCTTTTTTACCCTCATTATTTGTTGTCAATTCATTTCTGTAGCTTTTCATTGGCCGAGAAATAAGGAATTGGGAGAAACCAGGATGCTACTACAGTCTTACAGGCCAGACGATTATGTATTCTGAACAAAATAAACCACGTTTTGACATGCAGAACAACGGTGTGGTAAATCTTCCTTATAGAATTTCACCTTATTTCATCTATCATCCCTTCTTTCCCTTTCAGAACGTTATTTTGTTCTACATTATTAAAGGGCGCTTGCAATGTGAAATCTGCCTTGCAGATCACCTGCCAGGCGGGATCCGAGGGGGCTGGGAGAGCGACTCCCGGATCCCCCCACCAGCCTTTGACTGTCTGCCAGCTCATCTTTGTTAGCATTTCGCTAGGATAAAAGGTTTCCTTGGGAGGACAGATTGCTCTGTCTCACTTTCAAAAGAGTCTGAAGTTGTCTGTTTCCCCTTTTTTCTCTAACTGTCCTTTAATGCCGATTTAGAGATGTATTTCTGAAGGTAATATGGATGTTCTGCCTCTGTGCCTGTCTAGTCCTGATTTCTGTGGAGATCAGTGCTGATTATATGAAGAATTTTGTGCAGTGTCTCCACCTGTTCCACAGTTATTGGAATGAAAACAGCAAATTACTTTACAAAGGTCCTTCCTACATCTTTCATTGCTACCAAGAGCCAGCCTTGGCACGAGGCTTTAATTGCTCGAGGGAGGTATAAAAATAGTCATCCACCTTTTGTACTTGGAGAAATAGCAACTGCACAGATCAGACAGCAAGATTCAGGAGATGCAAAGGCACCTTCTGCTGGCCCAGGCAGGCGGGGGCCAAGCCACCGGCGTCTCAGCCCCCTCTGAGGAGAAGCTTTTGAAGAGCTCCCTAGCAAAATGTATTCCAGCTACACATTCTTTCATAAGCAATGACACACTGATCAAATGGACTGGGATGCCAAACTCATATCTTCTATGGTTATTTTTATCTGAAAACCTTTGAAGAGTGCTTTGAAGTTACATCCTGACCTCTAAAATGGTGTGGGGCTTCTGGGCTGAAAAACAGGTTTCCTCATGCAAGCGAGCCCCCACTGAAGTCAAGCTGCTGAATTCACTGTGGGGATCAGCTCCTCGTGCAATAATTCTGCATCCCCGTTGAAAGTTAACATTGGTAACTCAAGGGTTAAAAATACTTTTGCAAGAACAGTCTGTTATTTACTGACAAATATTAGGAATGAGGAGCAAAGAAGATATCAACAGAATCTCAATCTTTTATACACGTCTACGTTCAACGATCAAAAGCTCCCGTGGAAGCAGCCGCAGAAGCTCGGCGCTGTAACAACCCCAGCCTCCAGCTCCGACTCTGCCCCTCCTCACGGGCTCATGCACAAAAGGAGACAAACCAAGCTCAGAACACGTTTGCCGTGCCCAACACTTCATTTCTGCTCACGCTGCTTTACACCTTCCTTTTTCAAAGACTACACAAATTCCAGCTTTCACCTAGATACTCTGTCCAGATCACCATTTGTCACAAAATCCTAACTACACAAATAGCATGATCTGAGTCAGCGCTGTACGATGCTTCAGCAGGAATCGTCACATCACAAATGGCAGTCACAGCAGTAGATAAAAAGCTAGTTCAATTAGCGGTGTAAACCTCCGGGGTTTCAATCACAAACTAGTACATGAGTTCTCTGAAATCATAGAGAATAACAAAAACCCGACCGTCTATTGTGAAACTAACTTGCTTAACACGTTGTCTTCCTGAGCTTGTGCTCATGTCCTGAAACGTAATATCCCTGAATATTTATTTCCTTAGAAAATGTCCCAAGAGTTACAACACACCTTGTTCCTCAACTTCAGTTGTATCAGAGACCTCATGATTACTGCTAGTAACATCACAGAGGTAAGAAAAAAGTGCTCATTGCTGGGGAGAAAAAAAAAATCCTATCCAGTCTATGGTACAAATAAGCCAATTTTAGTATTTTGCAAATAAAAGTTCATTTCAGTCAAGCCCATCAGAAAGAGAGCGTTGAGGTTCCCATGGTGCTCTCTGGAGAAGCTGGGAGCCATCCCTTCCTCCTGCAGACCGCCGTGGACTTTATTTTTCAACAAACTATCATGCAGGATTGTTGGTTTCCTATGGCTTGGTCCACACCCAGTGGGAACAGGTGAAGATATGCTCTAGTTTAGCCTACGAAATGGGACAGTTCTTGACCTCACATCCAAGATGGAGTTCTACTTTGAATTAAGGACTAATGATGTATTGGTTCAGAGAGTGAGATACTGACTCGGTTGCAATTTGGGACCTCATCTGAGACACGAAGACCCACACGCAACAGGTTCAATCCTCGCTGAACACGGCACAGCCCCAACAGGTGAACCGGAGGCGTCCGTTGCCCCTAGCAGAGCAGCCCAGCCGAGCCGAGCTTTGACCCTGGATCCTCCTGTATCCCCGGTGCCTGCTGAGGAGCACGCTGGCCCTGGCCCTGCCCAGCGTTGCTCGCAGAGCCTTTTTCTACCTGGGAGAGACTGGGAACGCCTTCAAAATCCGGATCATTTTCAGGCAATGCAAAAGTTGTTTCATTTTCAGCTCTATTCCCGTTACCGTTCGCCAGAGGCAGATTGAGGGCAAAAACTTTCCAATATGCTTAATTGTTCAAAGAGCCCTTGCAGACAGTACTACCAGGCCTTGGGCTGTGAGCAGCAAGGGTGGATACCACCTTTCATCTTCTGCCTTGTCCAGACTCAGGAATATTAATAGCACTTAAAAATAAATAATGGTGATAATGAAAAACTGTAATAGGGTTTCCTTACGATCGTTTTCCCTGCACTGGAGCCAATCAATTTTAATAATAAATTGTAGCTTCCAGCTTGCCAGAGAACAAATGTACACCACGGGATAAAATCTGCTCCAACATGCGAGCGTGTCCAGAGCAGGCACAGAGCCCGGCCAGCTCACGCTGCGAGGGCTGACAAATTGGAGCCATCCAGCCCAGCGACAGCAGCCTGCGCTCAGCCCAGGTCACGCTCAGACAAAGCAGCTACGCCCGCCTGGGCCCGGTCCTCCTCTAACGCCGGCAAGGGTGTCCGCTGAAGTCAGAGGCTCCAGAGACACCGACTGAAACCCTCTTTTGGAAAAACACCAGAGTCTGTTTTCAAAACTGTTTGTGACACACCTTCATCTGGATTTTATTTCACGTAGCAGAAGATAATAAAAATAATTTGCACCAATGCTCTTCACGTGCACCTGCCCGTGAGCATGGTGAGCGGACCCTCTCCCACCGCACAGAAGCTGAATTTGGGCGCTTTGTGGGGTGCTGTGCTCCCCAGAGGCGTGCACATCTCCCGCGGCATACCTGATCGCACGCTGCCCTCGCTCCCCCGTGCAGCCAGATGTGCTCTTTGTCTCTGGGCTGCCCCGGCTGAGCGATGCTCCTTGTGATGCCTTTTGAAAAAGCCTTAAGAAAGTCTAGTTGAGAAAAAAGCAAAGCAGAGGATAAAGAAAGAGTCACTCTGACTCCGGCAACATATGTTCGGATATGACAATGTAATATTATCAGTGCCAGAAGGAGCCTTATAAATCCACTGCTGAACTCTGGCCTCTTCCAGTCACTTCCATCTTCCTCTGCCCTGAGCAACAGATATTTTTGACACTTGCAATTCTCCTGATACAGTCCATCAATCTATTTTTGTCTCCCTTTGTTCCTTCTAAGTCGCCCGAGGGATTTGGCTGAGTTAACTTGCCAAACCTTGTAAGGTCTGTATATCTCACTGAGGCCCGGTTGCCTGTGCGCGATACAGAACCGGGGTCTCACTGCTGCAGCTCCACCGTCTGTCGCCACCCTCCTGCAGCGCCCGGCTGGCCCAGCTATGTGCAGCACGGCAGAATCAGTCCTGCTCTGCCAGAGGTGTGAGCAGGATCGTGTCCCCCGTGAAAAGGCACTAATTGCATCTTTAGGTTGAGATAGCGAAGAGGATATTTTGCCCACCTGTGATGTGAACGACACTGTTCTGTCAGTCTAAAAGTCAAGATTACAGTAAGCTGAGGTGTTAACCCTGATGCTTGATCTAGTCTTTCATCCCTAGAGGTTGATTTCTCTTTAAAAATCTAAGAAAAAAACCCTGATTACCATAAATCAATTTTCAGGAGCACTTGGTGCGTACACGTGTGCCTAGCTGTATGTGGTAAACACTAATTTTCCTTTCTAAAAACCCAAAGCAAAGAATGAAACCGGTAATGCTCTCAAGAAACCTGCTTTCTGCTCTCTTGTTTTGGGCACGTAATGAAATACCACCACAAGTTCTGCTGGATTCTTTTCTGGAAAATTGGCACCGGAGCAGGGGGAATGACAACGGAAAATCCTACTTGGGCGAAACCTACCCCAAGCCCTGTGGCTAGTTGTGAGGGCAGAGGGCCACTCTCACTGCAAAGGGCATTGCTCAGCTGGTGGCCCACCACGTTGCCATCACTGAGCGCATGCTCTTAGGCACAGCATGGAAAAGTGGCAGATGCTGAGGAAGAAGAAGGTGGATTTAGGAGGTTTCAGACCTGGCACCGAGAGAGCTGTGCCCTTACACGCACACCAGCAGGCTGAGGCAGCGGCCACGCACCCCGAAGGGCCACGCTGCTCACCAGCTGCCAGCAGCCGTTCCCACTAGCTCCGGGACAGGCACAA